AGTAGGAATGGTACTAGCTCTTCTTTATACATCTGGTAGAATTTGGCTGTGGATCCATGTGGTTCAGAGCTCTTTCTGGTTGGTAGGCTTTTTATTACTGACTCAATTTCAGAACTCATTATTGTTCTGTTCAGGGATTCTCTCTTCCTGGTTCAGTCTTGGGAGTTTGTATGTTTCCAGGAATTTACCTGTTTGTTCTGTGTTTTCCAGCTTGTATGCATAGAGGTGTTCATGGTAGTCTCTGAGGGTTTTTTATGTTTCTGTGGAGTCAATGGTACTGTCCCCTTTGTCATTTCTGATTTTGTTTATTTGGATCTTTTTTTCTTTATTAGTCTAGCTAGCAGTCTCTCTCACTTATTCTTTGAAAGAATTAACGCAGGGATTCGTTAATCTTTTTTATGTTTTTTTGCATCTCAGTTTCTTTCAGGTCAGCTCTGATTTTTGTTATTTCTTGTCTTCTGCTAGCTTTGGAGTTGGTTTGCTTTTGTTTCTCTAGTTCCTCTAGATGTGATGTTAAGTTGTTATCTGAGATCTGATTTTTTTTTTATGTGGACTTTGAGAGCTGTAAATTTCCCTCTTAACACTGCTTTAGCTGTGTCCCATAGAATCTAGTATGTTGTATCTTTGTATCTTTGTTCCCATAGTTTCAAAGACTTTCTTGATTTCTGCCTTACTTTCATGGTTTACCCAAATGCCATTCAGAAGCAGATTGTTTAATTTCCATGTAATTGTATGGTTTTCAGCAATTTTCTTAGTATTGATTTCAGTTTTTATTGTACTGTGGTCCAGAAGTGTGGTTGGCATGATTTCAGTTTTTTTAAATTTGTAGAGGATTGTTTTATGTCCATTGGTGTGGTTGTTTTTATACTGTGTGCCATGTGATAATGAGAAGAATGTATATTCTGTTGTTTTGGGTTGAAGAGTTCTGTAGATGTCTATTCAATTCATTTGGTCAAGTGTTGAGTTCAGGTCCTGAATATCTCTGTTAATTTTCTACCTCAGCAACCTGCCTAATACTGGCAGTGGGGTGTTGAAGTTTCCCACTATTATTTTGTGGACATCTAAGTCTCTTTGTAGGTCTGTAAGAACTTGGTTTATGAATCTGGGTGCTCCTGTGTTGGGTGCTTGTATATTTAGGATAGTTAGGTCTTCCTGTTGAATTGAACCCTTTACCATTATGTACTGCCCTTCTTTGTCTTTTTTGATATTTGTTGGTATAAATTCTGTTTTGTCTGAAATTAGAATAGCAACCTTACTTTTTTCAGTTTTCCATTTGGTTGGTAGATTTTTCTCCATCCCTTTATTTTGACCCCATGGGTGTCTTTGCATGTGAGCCTGGTCTCTTGAAGACGCCTACCGTTTAGTCTTGCTTCTTTATGCAGCTTGCCAGTTTGTGCCTTTTAATTGGGACATTCAATCCATTTACATTCAAGGTTAATATTGATATGTACAGATTTGATCCTTCATTGTGTTGTGAGCTGGTTATTATGCAGACTTAATTGTGTAGTTGCTTTATAGTGTCACTGTTCTGTGTACTTAATTGTGTTTTTGTAGTGGCTGATAATGTTCTTTCCTTTCCAGATTTAGCACTCCTTTCAGGATCTCTTGTAAAGCAGGTCTGCTAGTAATGAATTCTCTTACCATTTGCTTGTCTGAAAAGGATCTTATTTGTCCTTTGCTTATGTGCTTAGTTTGACTGCATATGCACTTCTCGCTTGGAAATTTTTTCTTTAATAATGCTGAATATAGGCTCCCAATCTCTTTTGGCATGCAGGATTTTGGCTGAAAGGTCTGCTGTTGGCCCCATGGGGTTCCCTTTGTAGGTGACTTGCCTATTCTCTCTAGCTGCCTTTAACATTTTTTCTTTCATTCCAACCTTGGAGAATCTGATGATTATGTGTGTTGGGAATGGTCTTCTAGTGTAGTATTTGCAGGGGTTCTCTGCATTTCCTGAATTTGAATGTTGGCCTCTTTAGTGAGGTTGGGGACGTTTTTATGGACAGTATCCTGAAATATGGTTTCTAAGTTGCTTGCTCTCTCCTCATCGCTTTTATGGATGCCAGTGCATCGTGGATTTAGTCTCTTTACATAGTACAATATTTCTCAGAGGCTTTGTTCATTCTCTGTTATTCATTAAAAAAAATTTTTTTGGCCAGGCATGGTGGCTTATGCCTGTGATCCCAGCACTTTGGGATGCCAAGGCAGGTGGATCTCCTGAGGTCAGAAGTTCAAGACCAGGCTGGCCAACGTGGTGAAACCCCATCTGTGCCAAAATTACAAAACATTAGCCGGGCATGGTGGTGGGCACCTATAATCCCAGCTACTCAGGAGGCTGAGGGAGGAGAATCGCTTGAACCCAGGAGGTGGAGGTTGCAGTGAGCCGAAATTGTGCCATTGCACTCCAGCCTGGCAACAAGAGCAAAACTCCATCTCAAAAAAAAAAAAGGAAAAAAAAATTCATCTGACTTAGTTCAGAGAACCAGTCTTGAAGCTTGAGATTCTTTCCTCAGCTTGGTCTATTCTGCTATTAATATTTGGGATTGCATTATGAAAGTCTTGTAGTGTGTTTTTCAACTCTCTGATCAGTTTGGTTCCTTCTTATAATGTCCGTTTCATCAAACAGCTCCTGTATTATTTTATGGCAACCATTAGATTTCTTGGATTGTGTTTTGGCTTTCTTCTGAATCTTGATGACCTTCATTTCTATATTCTGAATTCTATCTTTCTGTCATTTCAGCCATTCCAACCTGTTTAAGAACCTTTGTTGGGGAACTAATATGGTCATTGGGAGGAAAGAAGACACTGTGGCTTTCTGAGTTGCCAGAGTTCTTGCACTGGTTCTTTCTCACCTGTGTGGGCTGGTGTTCCTTCAACTGTGGCATAATTTGTACAGTTGGTTGACTTTTCTGGATGTTTTTAGAGTCTGAGGCATTGTACAAGGTTTTTATTTGTAGCTGAATTATTGTCTTTAGTTTCACAGGAGGGTTTATTAGCAAAGTATTTTTTGTATTGAAGTTTGCACTGTGATTGAAGTTTGATAGCCCTTAAGCGTAATGGCCAGTAGGTAAGCTCTTGCTCAGCCACGTGGCTCTTCTGTATTTCCTCATGATTGCAACTGTGCTCCCTCTCAGTGCTCTGAAAGTGTGGGCTCCTCTCCCACTCAAGTGCTGGCTGCAGATCTCGGCTTGGCACTCCCAGGCTTCAGCCCTGGGGTGAGCTAAGGCTTTATGTTCTCTCCCAGCTTGGAGGCAGCAGGGGAAGGGAACTTGGCAGTGGCTATGGCAGAGGGCCTTTCACTCGTCTCTGGGGTCCACCCCAGAGAAATGCAGAACTGCTGCCAGTCAGTGTGATTGGCTTGGAGTAGGACAGCTGCATTGTGGGCTCAAGCTGGGGGAATCCTGGGGGAGACAGACTGACCTCTTCTTAGGGCAGTGGCAGCTTGCTGAAGGTGTGGTTAAAGCACTCAGGGTCTTTGCTCCTTTCCTAGTCCAAGGGTAGCAAGGGGAGTACCACTGCAGTGGTAATGGCAGAGGGTCTTTTGGTTGCGTCTGGGACCTCCACTTCAGAAACACAGATCCGCTGCTACCAGGATGTTCAGCCAGGGGGTGGGGCAGCTGTGCTGCTGGCCTGAGCCAGGAGCCCCACCAGATGAAAGGTGGGGTGCCGAGGGCTCACAGGGAGGAGATGGGCTCCTCTCTGTATAGTGAGTATGTCATGCTAGTAGTGCAAGTAAAGACCTCAGCCTCTTTGTTTCTTCTCCAGTCCAGGGGCAGCAGGGGCAGAACTCTAAATGAAGTTTTCATTTGCAAAGTTTCGGATTTCAGCCTTCACTTGTTTGGTATAGAAAATATTGATACATTTTGAATCTCACCTGCTTTTACCTTCATTTCCCCTCTCGACAGTGTTTCTAAAATCTCTGAAATGACAGTGATCAGAGTAAGAGCAGTAGACACAATAAATGGTGAAAATAAGTTATAAATAAATTAACAGCATATTGGTTCTTTTCCCTAGCATTGCAATCCTGTGTGTTTAGTAACAACAAATATTTTCAATTATATAGTAACTTAATATAGAGAATTTTACTTGTTAACCTCACTTTGTTAGCACACAAATGAAGAATATGGAGTAAGATGTATTTTTACAGAAGCAGAGTAGTAAAGTAGAAAGAGTCCACTGCAGCAGCATCTCTGATGCCACTTAATTAGCTGTGTCACTGAACTATAGGTTCCTCATTTGTGAAAACAAAACAATGGACCAGTGAGCTCTGAGGTACCCTCAGGTCCAAAATATATGGCTCTATGATGATGGTTTCCTTTTTTCTCTTTCTGCTACTGAGAACAAGGTATTCAAACTAAGGAAAATTACGAGTAGTCCTACTTAGTTGGATACCAAATTAGTAGAATTTGATATCCAAATTCTTCTAATATTAAAATTCTTCTGAGTTACATTTATAACCTCTATTGATTACTAATAGAATAAACCTCTTTATTAGAAATTTTGGATCATTTGCAAAGGAAATAGAAACTATGGTTCTGTTCATGGCCTCTAAAAAATTAAAATAGGAAGGAAGAACAAACAGAAAAATCTGTACCTGTGAATATGAGATTTCACTTTTTCTTACAAGCAAGTCAAAGTGATTTTTTTTAGCTTTGTTAATTCATTCAGCAAATGTTTACTGAATATCTGCCATGTGCCAGGAGTAGTACCAGGCACAGGACTCTTGCTGTCCTTGAAGAGTTTTGTGGGATGTGCTGACCTACAGGTACATACAGTGAGCTATGGAATTTTTAAGGCCAACAATTTGTTTTAAAAGAAATGTTTAGTTCAATAAAGGTAACATATATAGAAATTAGCTTAAGATACAAGCTTGGTCTTTAGCCTTTGAAGAATAAATTGGGTCAGTAGTGGTGGAATAGGAAATCAAAGGAAATACTATGTGCTTTCTATGTAGATGAATGTATGCACCAGCATTTGGATGTTTAATGGTATTCCTCTTACAGCCGTTGGACATACCAGATGGTCGAAGAGCTCCACTCCCTGCTCATTACCGGAGCAGTAGTACTCGCAGCATTGACACTCAGACTCCTTCTGTCCAGGAGCGCAGCAGTAGCTGCAGCAGTCATTCACCCTGTGTCTCCCCTTTTTGTCCCCCGGAATCCCAGGATGGTAGCCCTTGCTCAACAGAAGATTTGCTCTATGATCGTGATAAAGGTAAGAATGGAATCGTCCACTTAGAGGGTTTGTTATGGGGCCTTGCTCATTATACCTTGTCTTAGACCATTACATTCTTTTTTTTTCTTTTGTTGAGTGGTGACATTGTCAAAGATTGGTTAATCTAGGTTTGTTTGTTCATTGGTTTCACATACCCCCTTCTTTGTGACTCTAACAAACATCTTCCATAAATGTGTCAGAGAAGCACAGCGCATGGTTCTAACAGCTAATGAAAGCCATAAAATGGAGTGTGTACAACTTCATATAATACATGGGTCTTTTCCTTGTTATTGTCCAGAGCGGATGATGGTTATGGTAAAATTTATGTTTCTCAAGCTTAAAGTTAGATTTTGTAATCAGATTGATTTGCGAGGAAATCATTTCTAAAAATTCTATTGGAAAAGTGTATTTTTAACCAAGTTTATAAAGCTCAGTGAGTACCTACAGGACATCAGGGATTATATTATAGTATGTAGATAAATTATTAACTGTTGAGACCCTCTGGGATTCTTATTTCCTATCAAGCCCAACTATCTCTCCATGTTCTTCTATCATTGTGTCTATCACCACTTGTCTGCCAACACTCCCTGGGTTCTTTCTGTTTCTAGCCCCCTAAGACCTAGCTACAGAAGGCCATGTAGACTGCCCAGCTTCTACCTTCCTACCTACTTGCAAAGAAACACTGAACTTATGTTTATAACAAATTTACTGCTTGTCACCATAGAGAAATAGGTCAATGGCAACAAAAATGTAGAACTATACAAAGTTATATGGTTATAAAATCTTAGGAATTTTACGGTCCTTGTTCTGAACTGACCCCATCCCCTATGATTGATATGTTGTTGTATGTAAAATGCTCAGATCATAAGTGCTCAGCCAAATGAATTTTTACATGTGTGTGCTCATGAAACCACTACCTAGGTCACGTATAGATATAGAAGATTTTTATTATCCCACAAGGCTCCTTGCGCCTCTTCCCCAATAGCATCCTTCCTCTCTCCACTTGAAAGTAACCACTTCGCTGACTTCCATCACTATAATTTAGTTTCCCCTGTTACTAGACTTCATACAAATTGAATAATGAGGTATATATTCTTTGTGTCTAACTTCTTTTACTTATTATATGTAACTGTTCTTAGATGTTAAGTGGAAGCTACTTTGGATTTTGTCCTCTGCTTTTATATGTGGGTAGATCTTAACAGTTCTCCCCTTTCTTGTTGACTCTTTCATTATTGAAGGCCTTGTGGACCCCCTTCCTTCATTAAGGATATATTGAATATAGTACCAGATATCTCTTGGCTTCATGTGGGAAGCCTCCATGTCTTAAAATGTCAGACTAGGAAACTTTCATTTCACTGAAGCATCCTGTGAAAATAAACACTTTTAATCACTTCCTCACAACCTTTTAATGTGGATGTTTCACAATAAAACATCTTGCTTCCAGTAGGAATGTTTGTTTGGAAGGTAAATGGAAATGATAATAGTAACTTGATTTAGGTTGTGTAGGTGGTAAATGGAGAAACCAGTCTGTCTTGATTCCAAACTCATATTCTTTGTTATGCCAGTAGAAAGGATAAGTACAGTTCAGGTTGGCTACTTTTGCTACTTAACACTTGTACCTGGGGTAAAAATGAAAAGTAGAAATAATGGTGGTAGTACAGCTAGACAGTTAATTCTGGAGTTCTGTTTTCTTTAATACTGTGGATAATTGAGAGATGCTGAACCAAAAAGAAAATGTATTGAGAAGATGGTAGATGAGTTCCATTTTGGTTAACTAGTTGTGAGATTGCCTTCAGGGCCTCCCAGTGAATAGTGGTTTCTGTAGCTCACAGGTCTTCACTTACATCATAAGTTTCAAACAGTGTGTGTTCTTTAATATATAATATCTCTTTTTCCTAAAGATGTATAATCTATTTTATTATGAGAAGGTATAATCATGTCACTCTCCTGCCAGGGTCTTTTGCAGGAGACGTTATAACATAGAAGTTAAGAGTAGCACTGGCTTTGGGACCATAGGAATGCATTTGAAAATCCTGTGAAGGTTTGGACATAAAACCTGCATTAATTCTCAAGGATTTAATGAATAGTAGCTGCTGCTGTAAAAATAATCACCTTTATTATCACCTGTTAGTTTCCCTAATCGTTTCAGGAAAAAATATCAATTATTTAACTTCCACAGCTTAGTCAGAATCACCTTCTCTGGCCTAGTTTGTGTCAATTATCTAATAATATTAATTCTGGCCATTTCTTAGACAGGTTAGACCTTTTCCTAAGTTTGCCTTTGTTGATATATTTTCCTCTATGTCCTTTTGTTCTTACATACCAGATATAAGCCTGCATAACACTAACTTCTTTATACTCAACCCCTTTTTTTTGTTTGTTTAATATGTAAAATGAGAACATTGGTTCAGATCATCTCTAAAGCTAAGGTTTTTTCCTAATAGTTAAAAAATATTTCTTAGTAAAATAGGGTAATAATACCTACCTCATATCATTATTGGGGTTACATGAGATATAGCAAAATGCATAGCACAACTTTTTGGCACATGGCAAACAATTAGTGGTGATGAATGTTGCTTAATTTTAAAAATAGTGATTTTTTAAAAATCTCTTTAGAACTTATAAATATAGAATGGGTTTCAGAATTATTTAAGACATTTCTCTGTTTTCTACAAGATCACCTCAGTTTGAGAATTAAAGCCCTATGACATCAGTTTCATAATATCTACCATATTTAGCTGAGAGGCATTCTTTTGTGATTAAGATCAAGTTGATGTTACTACTCCCTGGAATACTGTGTTAGCCCTCTGTTATGCAATACAAGGTTTCTAGTTCTCAAACAAATCAAATATTATAAAGAGAAAATGAAAATAGCACCTATCCCTTTTATATATGTAAGTATGCACACATAGGTATTTTAGAATTGGGAGTTGAGATTTATGTATTTCAACTGAGGTTATACTTCTAGTTTATTTAAGGAACACTTGTTGAGCATTTATTGTATGTCAGATATTGTACTAGAGAGTGGAGAAATAGAGATGATTAAGATGTGGTATCTGTCTTTAAGAATTTCTAGTCTAGTAGGAAGTAATTAGGAATGTAAACAAATAATACACTATTAGACAATGATGTTTAGAATACTAAAAGTATAAAGGAAGGAGTTGTCCAGAAATTTTACAATTTCTGGAACTAATATGTTATGTCATTCAAACTGTAGGCTAGTTTCTGACTCATTTCTTCTTCATGTAAAGCCCAAACTCTGGGTTTTGCTGTTTTTAAAAAATACTAACTATTTCTGTGATCCCAGCATTTTGGGAGGCCAAGGCGGGCAGCTCACTTGAGGTCAGGAGTTAAAGACCAGCCTGGCCAACATAGTGAAACCCCATCTCTACTAAAAATACAAAAAGTTAGTCAGGTGTGGTGGCATGCAGCTTCAGCCCCAGCTAATCAGGAGGCTGAGACAAGAGGATCAGTTGAACTTGGGAGGTGGAGGTTGCAGCAAACCGAGATCACATCACTGCATTCCAGCCTGGGCAACAGAGCAAGACTCCCATCTCAAAAAAAGATACTAATTCTTTCCTATAATGTATGTTTTCTACAATAAATCATAAATTGGTGTTTTGTTTATTAGAGACATAAAAGGAAGCTGTATAGCTTTCCTAGAGCTTTTCATCATTATGAAAACAGAATGAATTCTATAATTTTGAAGTCAACTAGAATTGATTTGATTTGGAGTACCTACATAGTCTGCAGTTGCTGTAGAGAGATTTGTTCTGTGGTAGAGTAACTAGTTCAGACATCTGTAGGAGCCTGGATAGACATGGAGGGGAGAGGGATAGCTGCAGTGAATAGCTGCCCTAATGAGGGATGTGCTGGTGAGCTGATTATTTTTCTAGTATTCGTTTTATATACATATTCTTTTTCTGACTTTGCTAACATTATTTCTGTGTGTTCCTAACATCTATTTGCTATGAATTATGTATCATTTGAGACCTATAAAATAATTTTAGTTGCATCGCACATTGGTTTTTTTCTTTGCCTGTATGGATTGCAATGCCAGGACAAAAACACTCTGTCAAGAAAGTTTCAACTGTTGAGAGAGTTGTTTCAAGTGAATGGGTTTTTGGTGTTTTGTTTTGATTTTTTACTAGATTTTTCCAGTAACCTAAAGATTGAAGGCAACTTGGTCACACTGGTCACATGTATAAAGTTTCCAGGCTAACTAATAGCCATAGGAACTACTACTGCTCTTCTCTGTGTGGAGAATTCAGAGATCCAGAATAAGAGCACTCATCTTGACATCGTCAGAATGTACCCTCAGAGGTAGCTTACATTCTTCCACATTATCATACCCAAAATAAAATGCAAGGAGCAAAAATAGCCATTTATATAATACAGATGGCAGTGTCAGAATATTAGTTTCTTAAGCAGCTCTGCCAGCATTGCTTAATGGTAGCCAAACTGGTGCTGGGCAAGCCACAAAATGTAGACTTCAGTCAGCTACTTATCATTGATCTTTGGCACAGTTCACTTATGCAGTTGTTATAAAATTCTGCAGTTTTGCAGGATATTGTGGAAACAGATTATTATAATCATGAAATAAATGGAATCATTTTATTCAGGCCAACTACTGAGAGTTATATTCCAAGAGTCCATAAATTGATTACTTGTATTTTAAGCTATATTTTCCTGAAGGAACAGTGTACACTATGTGGATAGAGTTTCCCAAGCCAATGCATGTAAGCCTATTTAACTCATTCTGTGACTTAACTCGTAAATATTCATATTGCTAAACTTTTAGTGTTAGGACTGAGCCTCCTTTGGTCTTAGGAGAAAAAAAAGTATTATTTTGTCTTTCCAGGGTCTAGGCTTGACCCTAGGCAGACTTCTGAAACAGACTGCTTTTGGCATCTTCCTATTCCTTTATACATACATTTTAACATACTTGTATTTATCTCTAGGGTTCTATTTCTTGACCTTTTTTTTGACCTGTGCCCTTA